GCAGGGGATGCTTTAGGGCGGGGCTACACGGTGATTGACAAGTCTCTGCCAGAGACATATGTGGCGTCTCTACGTCACTCCTCCTCAGTCCAGATATGGTCACTTCCTGTTCACTGGTTGCTAAAAAAACAAGATGGCGACGGCCAAAATAACCGTAAGAACTAATTTCTTTCTGGTCATCTATGATCCATTACTTAGGTGTTTTGCTCTCTATGGTTCTCTTCCAGATTTCCAGGAGACGGTGATGAACCCCTGTGATCCTCTGCTGTCTGGTCATGCGTTTGTCAAAGAGCAGCCGGAGTGTCACCCCCAGACCAACGGAGTCACACTCTCCAGACCCAGAGACTTCATCTCTGCTTTAGCCAAAGAAAGAGACTGCAGATCGAGTGACAACCTCCAGACTTCCAGAGAGAATCCGCCCAGCTACAACCGTGGGTTCAACTCCTCTGACGCGTCATCTACTTCTGCAGCGTCCGAACATCACGTCACAACGCAAGCTGAAGATCAGAGCCCATTGACGTCAACCATGAACTTGGATTGTAGCGTCACAGAGTTCAGGGACTTCTGCTCCACGTCGTCCTCGGGGAGAGAAGAAGTCCTGAATCAAAACGGGGAGATTCATTCAGAAGTTGTGGAGAGAGGGAAAAGAGAGAGGTGAGTGGATCATATTGTGGTTTAACGGACTGTTGTCTATTGTGAACCACAGATTAATGACACACTTTAACCATCAGAGTGTGAAATACAGTTTTACTGACCATCATTATAGACCGATATTCATTAAAAATATGATGACTATTATTTCAACAACCACTCTGATACCAACTAAACGTTTAATAAAGCATCTATTTATCTCAGTAATCATTGGTTAAATATGGTTGAAAAAAAGCTTTTTGAAGCAGAGATTAAATCGTATTTGTATACAAAACAAAATCACAAATTTGTCTCAGAGGGCTTTACAATCCACACTACATGATAATAATAATAACAATAACTTTATTTATATAGCACCTTTAAAAACAGAGTTTACAAAATGAAATGAAATAAAATAAAATAAAATGAAATGAAATGAAATAAAATAAAATAAAGCGACGACATCACATAAAAGCCAGTCTGTAAAAATGTGTTTTAAGAAGTAATTTAAAACAGCAAGTGATAAATAATTGTCTTGTGATTTTAGAGACTCTCAGGGGGTCTGAAGTGTCAATTAAAACCCATATTTTGCACCCTGGCTGTCCTTGATGTAGATCATCACGTCCTGTGGTTTTACAGTAGGAATCTAACCCCCTTTGACTTGGACCCTAATGACTCTGTGTGATTCTCCTGCAGGTGTGAGCTGAGTGATGGACGCTCTGCTTCCTCAACATCTGTGGACTTCATCACCCGGCCGGTCGACTCTGAGCCGAGAAGTCTCTCAGCTCTCATCGTACCACAGAGGGAATCCTCCAAAGACAGAGAAGAGACCACCGGACCTACTCTCCACAGAGATGTGTTCACCGTAGACGGAGAGCTGGTGCCTGACCCGGTACCCATGGTGGATCAGACCCAGAGGGGACCACTTCACCTGGAGGAGGCGGGGCCAAAGCCAGAAGAATCCTCATCACAGACCAGGATGCTTCTGCTCGGTTCGTCCGTGATCTTTACGGAAGAGACGTCTTACTACGGATCCTCGGGAGAACCGGGACGCCTTTCTGCTCACACAGTCACAGAAACCGCAGACTGTCTGCCGACGTTCACCAGCCGGAGGCCAGAGGACCTACCGGCTACTACGGGGAGACGGGCTCTGTCTAACACCTGGTAAGTCTGTGGCAGCTTTTATAGATACTAGAACTCTTATTGGTTCTTTCTAAGAAAAAAAGACATTTAATTAAGAAGATAATCAATATTTCTTTGTTATTCTTGTATGTAAACAACTTTCTTGAGCAGCAACACAAGAAGTTCTAAAGTCTTTAAAACACATTCTCAGCTAATCAATGATCTCAATGATTATGTTTCATTGATGATCCTGTTCTTCTGATCAAACTCCGTATGACATCACTAACGTATGACATCACTAAAGTTACCTAATCAATATCTCCCACAATTAATTTTTTTTTTTCACATATTTTTAAGACATATTTCACTATTTCTTTCAACGTATACTACTAATATTTTCTGATAAATATTTTATAAATTATGTTTATTTACATTAATTGATTAATTTGCACATATTCTGAATTTTTCAGAATTTTCTCACAATTATTTCACTAATAATTTTAGGAAATCTTTTGGATATTTTTCACATATTTATTTATGTATGTATTAGGGGGGCATCCCTAGAAGCCACTACCCACTTCTTAACAGATGTTTATTATCAGGAAGCAGATGTTTGCAGATTCTCCTAAGTCGATATAAACCTGATCCTGAACGAACCCTGACCTCAGCATGATCCTAACAACCCGACCCTGTGCTGACCAGAGATTAAACCCAGACATGTGCTTTCAATCTCAGCTCCACACGGAGAGACGTCGTCATCTTTTCTCTTGTGATGGAAACCGATCAGGACGTGTTTTAAGGAATGAGCCCCTAGGGCTCCTCTGACACTTTGTTTGTGCCAGAGATCAATAATTTTTTTTGCACCTGCTACTAATACCCGATCATTGATGGTCATTATTAACAGATAACAGATCCTTTGTTGTTTGATTATAGCAGCTGGTCTACAAGGATCCAGATCAAAAATACTAAATGTTATACTTTTACTTTGTTTTAGTGTTTTTTCTTCATAAAAACACACAATATAACTGATAAAGAAATAAAAGATTGGATTTTTATTGATTAAAACAAATCTAGTCATTATTATTTGTAATGATGTATTATAATGTGCTTAGAGCTACTAACGTTACTAGCTCTCCTCCTGTTGGTTAGCCATAGCGGTGCTGCTAACGTTACTAGCTCTCCTCCTGTTGGTTAGCCGT